ATGTATACAAACACCAATAAAAAAAGTTYTCTTATGATATAATAGCTAATGTATAATATACCTATTGTATAAAATTGTTAAACAATCGTGCTGCGTTTTATACATTTCTTGCGGTCGAGATTGCGTTCAAGCCATGCACCACAAACACGCGTATAATTTTGTCTATCTGCCCTATCTATTTTACTCGCGTAACATAAACCTATCGAATGCAACATTTAAATATTTGTGTAGATTGTTTTGAAACAGAAAGTATTTCAGCTATAGTGCCGACCGATTGTCAACTGGAGCAAGTAGTTGAAATTAATTTTAACGAAATATTATAATGATTGTTTTTAAATTCTTACGCTGATTTCCACGTGAGAAAAAACGATTTTGTTCATGATAATAATAATATTGTGGTAATATAATTWTAATTTATGTTGTACCTATTTATTCTAATTTCGAGTAAACATAAATAAGTAGCCATCAAGTTTTATTTTTTTTAAACTGTATTACTAAGTGTCTAAGCTTATAACGATTTGAGTACTTTTTTTAAGTTTTTATACATTACAAGCACGTAAATGTAAATTAATTTTTGGAAAAATGATTAGCTTAAAGTATAATGGTGCTTACAAAACTCTTCAAAAATTGAAAAAACTTCTTTGGTTTATTAAATAATAGTAGAGCAACCGTCATATTTGATTTATCATGTTATTGGGCGTTTTCTGTGAGTACGGACAGAATGATCGAAATTTGTCCATGACTTCTACGATGTAACAAAATKAATATTGGATCATTTTTCTGGTGGTAGAATTAATAAATCAGTTCATTGAAAATGACATTTTATATAAAGAAAATGAATTGTTGTTGATTATTTTGGTGTTACAAATATTTGCGAGGAAAGTATATATAGAGTAATATAACAAAAAAATKTTAACAACGATTTGCAATATATGAACGAACCAAATATTATAGTACATCATATTTCATTTGACACGTGAGCATTTTCCGAACAAAATTATACTGATGTACRAACCTACCTACTTGTTACTATTACATATTTATTACATTAACATTGACACGTTGAAAGCAAATCCGCTTTTATTTAGAAGCCTCTGATTAAAAACACACATTTTTGGTAAACGTTAAAAAGTACTATCAAAAATAGCTTTTGGCTAAATGTAATATAGTTATATGTCACAAATAAATGCAACTATGAACAGCATAAACACATTTTTTATAGTAAAATTTAAAATATCACATAAATAACTAATACATTATTAAACAGTTRTTTACTTATCTATACATATTTATAAAGAAATACTTAKTAAGTAGTATTTCATAAAGCTTTATACTATTTTTTATATCTACTCAAACATTTTCAAGACTATTTTTTTTGTTAACAATAATCATTACAGATGACATTATGTTTCTTTTTAGACACTCAGATTAAGTTTAAATTGTGATATTTATATTTGATTTAAAGAATACTTTATTTTTCAATAACAAAATAATATACACTGCAGTCTGCAATTTATTTTAAAATGTAAGACAATAATGTAATATTACTAACCGAATATTGCTACTTTAAAAGTCTTTTTGATATTAACTATTGTTATTTTAAACTATTATCTTATATTTCAAGGAAAATTAATTATTTATTTTATTTTAATTGTAATCTAAATTGTACAGCATGCAAAATGAATACATATTAAACTGAATATTTAAGTTTTTACATTTTTAAATTATTTTTAAGGTGTATYAACAGTCGATGATTATATTATATCAATTATAGTTACATTGCATTTAGGTACATTAAACTACGTTAATTTATTAATATTTTGTACATTTATTTACTTATGTTATATTATTGAACAGATAACGGGTTCAGCTTCGTTGATGAAATTTATTACCCACCTTAAAAGATATCTCGAGWTTAGGTGCGAGTAGGTATATCTTATATAGAATTGTCTGTATTCTCTGTTTGATATAGATTTAATTGTATTAGTGTCGTTCGAGAATTATGCGTTTTAAACTTAAAAACAAATAGTTATAAAATTTTAACTCCATGTTCAATAATAATTGTGATTCGAATAAGATAATAATTTCTATGGTGAAAATATTATTATTTAAATAAAAATGAGATTTTATCGTATCATTTAAATATTTTGTTGCATCTGTAATAAAGTTATATATTTATTAAAATGGCCAGTAATAAAAAGATGTTAGGTATCTTTTATTCAGTTTTCAAATACTATTGTATACTTTTTTCCTTTCGCTTAATAAACTATAAAAAAGACAGCACCAATATTATTTAGTATACTATTAGTTATTGTGTTATAATTATATCAAATCAAACCAAATAATTAACAGTTAACAATCAACAATTTATTGGAAGTCTTTTATTTTATTAAACTGTATTTCTTACGAATTTCGATTGAACATATTATCAACCTCTATTAAAAAGAAAAATAGTAGCAAATGTTCAGAAAATTCTTCTTTTTTTTTGGTATCTTAAATAGCTGTATTATATTATTTTATATAGAAAATAAGAGCATTTTAATAGAATAAAACAAACTTTTATTAAAGCCGTTTTACAACTGTAATCATCTTACGTTGAATATAGAACATTTACTAACCGAACGCTTATGCGTTTAAACATTAAAATTTAAGAATACTTTTTTGTTTTCTTAAAAAAATTATAATCACACTTTTTGTTTTTATCTGATTCAGGTGATTTATTCTATTTTTATTTTAAATTTTTCTCGTAAAGCAATTATTGTTCATTGGATTAATTTAAACATCAATCAATGAAGTGGTAAAAAAAAAATACTTCAGTTATACACAAAATATACAAAACACATCACATTTAAAACAAAATAACCATTTTTAAACGATATTTTTTGATATTCTATACCTATGCGTAGTTTGTACCGATTACTTAAAAAAATTTTAAACGTTCAATCCAGCCGTAATTTCTGATCCCTTCGATACACAATATATATATATATATATATATATATTATATAAGTAATATATTATAATACACAGGAGGCAAATTTTTCATTATTATTAAAAAGTAAAAAAAAACATATGAAGGAAATTTTCTAAAACTTGTGAAATACAAATAATGCACTATGACTGGCAAATCGTTTGGTCAATCGGAAAATGTGTACACATACCAACGTTTATAACCTTCACGGTCTTAATGGAAAACATTAATATTATGTTGCACAATTACCCGAGCATATCCTGTCAATCGAGTGCATATAGAGGTTGTTAATAAATTCTTTGACGAACAATATCTCATTATTCGTCTCAAAATGTATGATGTACCTACACATGGACAAATATATATATATATAATATATATACACCTATATCCGGCTATATGCGCCTCACGTATTAAACATTTTATGACATAATATGCATAATAAAAGTAAAAACATAATTCATTGTTGTCGGAACATTTATTTAAAACATTATCATTTTACAATAATAATATCTATACTGCAGTCTGCAGATAGGTATGATGTCTTTATTTAAATACATTTTGAAACAAATTTACGGATACAAACCATGTATAAGGCGTAGATCTTAAATAAAAATAATTTAACTACAACGTAAGACTCATATAATGTATATTGTTATTAATTTACTTTTTACCAATTGAACATTCCCGACAGCGACCTTACTCCATGCAATATTGCGTTGTTAAAGTTTATTGAAGATGTTGTTGTGCGTGGCCGATATTATATTATGTAAATAGCCACCTACCTTGTTAAAATAATAACTCTAGTTTGGGCGAGAATAAAGCTATTTTAATCAGTTTTATTTAGTTTAATTATTATATTTTTAGTTCATAAACAAATGCAGTTCTGTTTAGGTATTTACTTGGGTTATGCTGTAGACATTATTGTATAATTACGATTGTTTGGTTCATTCTTTAGAGTTATTAAAAAATACGACATTTTTGTAATGTCAGTTTTTCTTATTGTATCTTTTATTTGGTTGATATAATTGTTTAATTACTGTTTTGACAATTGATAGTAAATAGTACTTCTTAAAGTGTAAAAATAATTGGATAGAGCGACTAGTCACTAGGGTTGAGCATATTAAGGGTGTATAGTGTAAATTTAAGAAAAAATCATTTATGAAGAGAATTAATGGTTTTTGTTTTCTATACAGTATGACCTAAATTTTAGTCTAGTTATATTGTCTATGCAAATGGGAAAATCATAACAAAATGTTGAAATTTTTTAACGGGTATAGTGCTTATTGAAGTTTTTTTTATCTGATCGCTATCAAACTGAATGACATGAGTCAGGAGTATGTCATTTTTCATAAGGCGGTCTTGCTGTAAAGAACTATCGATGAGATAACATACCGGGTAATTGCATGTCTATATTACTTCAACATGATAATTTTCACCATCCGGTAAAAAATGTGATAACTTTCTATTAATCCCGATTTGATGGTTGTCATTTATATACAAATGAAATAGGTACGTACACTATATACCATTACCTATAGTAGCTAGTGTTTGTGGTTGGTGTCTGGCTTAGTATAAACACGTATTATATTATAATACATATTATATTTCATAAAATCTTAATATAATATTATTAATAATTTTAAAAGTCGAGAAAATATCAAATTTGTCTATAAATAACCCCCGATTAATTTTATCACACACTATATTATGGATACAATATAATTTGTTGAGAGAAACGTTAATATTGATTTGGGGAGAGAAACTATAATAACTATTACCTTTTGGGTCAATCCAAATCTGTATTCTATGTTAATAAAGTCCATATTTTTGATAAACTTCAGTAGAATATTATAATGCATAGGTATTCAAGTAATAAATTGAAATCGATTCTATAGAAACCAAAAAATATTTTTGGCTGATTCTTAAAATCACAATTTTAAATTTATACTATAGAATACTTTTATTCCAAGATGGCAACTCAGGTAGATATTATTAAGGCCACAAGAGAAAATTAAATCAAAAGATCATGCACTTTTTTGGTCTGCGTAAAGATTTTCAAGAACTTAAGAGGTATGTAAGCTATAATTTTGTGTGGTCGAGTTTTTATCCAGTAAAAAGCCTTTTATAAAATAGTACAGTTTTTTCTCAATTGATTGAATTCCGAAATTGTCCTTCAACAGGCATTTGATAATAAGAAATAACCAATGTACCTACATTTAAATTTTTTGGATTCATAAAAAATAAATAACTTGATTTTATTGATCCAATAATTCGGATTTGACTCGAGATTCCCTTCGTTGAATTATAATTTATTATTCAATTTAACCCCGGAATTATCATTAAATTACCATTACATTATGATTGAATAAAGCGCAAAGAGAAGGTTTTACCCGCATGTTATGACTCGATCTTACTAATACGTAGGTAGACCAATGAAATTTTTCATTCAGAATAATTTATTTATTTTTAATATCAGATAGTGGATTGGACCTCTTATGTTATATTTAAATGTAAGTATTTAAGTATATTAATTTGCGCTTCAAGTAGATTATTTTGTATGTATTAATTTTGAAGCAATTTACCAGAATTGTAAATTAAAATTGATTTTTTTAAAATTAAAATATATCATGATATTGCGTTGGTACTCTTCTCGGCTCTTACAATTATATAGCACAACAAACAATAATACATTACATTTTAGTGCCTTAATTTTCTACGTTTTACCATGACAAGTTTTTATATTAAAATTATTGCATTCAGATGTTATAATTATATTTTTATCTATTATAAAAGTATAATTGAATGTCGATTTTTGAAACAAATTCAGATATAATAATTTTATTATTAAATTACAAGTTTTTTTACMATATAAAAAACAATTCATAACCTTTCAAACAAAAATAGGAAGTTTGGATGTAGTTAATTTAATTATCGCAATTAGATTGTTCATGGAAAATAAATCATCACACTAAATGAAATGTTTATTCCACTTTTACGTGATTTACATCATACGAGTTGTAATTGACACTCGAGTCTTGGACAAATGCCAGACAAAGTTGGGATATCATTTTAAATAATATAGACTCATTAGTCTCTAATAAACTCTATACAATCATATAATGTAATGATTCTACCTAAAACTACAGAAATTAATATTATATATTTTTATAATCAAACGGTTATTAAAAAAAAAATTTTCCTATGTATTTTTGATACATTGAAATATATAACTTATGAAAAAACTTGTATTGAACATTTTTCAAGCTTTTTAATCGGTAAACAAAATTTGTACCAATATAAATTTAAAAAAGCGGGTGAGTTGATATAACGATCTGCTATACATTATATGCGTCTAAAAATTTACCTTAGTGGATGTGTTAAATTTGAATTCAATAATCATTATATATAAAAAATGATTCTGAGCGTAGATAATAATATCCTATAATATTACTAGTACCTAAACTTTATGATATTATTTTAGGATTCAGCATTTGCAGTTAAGTAAGCTAAATTAGTTTTCGTCAAAAAAAAAATATGCATTAGAAAATATAATCTGATAAAGCTTCATGTGACAAATCGCAAATATAATGTTTGTTGTAAGTCAAAAAAATGATTTTGAGGTATATGGTATAGTAGCTACCTACAACCTACATCGAAAGAAGAAAAAAAAATCTGAAATATAATAATATACTATGCATACGTTCTCTACATAAACTTAAAAGTTAACAGTAATAATTTCATACTTCTAAATACCTAAAGCAGTCATCATTGTTTAACCAGAAATACATATTTCCATAATAATCATTTTGACTTGTATTATTGTTTATTTTTACTCTGATAAAATGTAAGTCTTCTGAAAAATTGGCTTTTTTTAACTTTTGAGGTTATACTATTGCTCCATTATTGATGATGCAAAAAATTTAAATACAAATATTTGGTAAAAATGTCGTCCCTTTCGTATCCTAATAACAAAAATCAATATTTCCTCGAAAACTAGAATTGTGCAAATATTTAAGTTTTCTCACTATTTTTTGTTAATTTTTCTAACTATTATAGAAAGTATATTGATAAGTTTTACTGACTTATTCAGACTACCCCAAAACATAAACTATAGATTGAATTAACTATCAGACTCGCCCTATATGTTAAATATTAAAGTAAATTGAATACTTCAAATTGTGATAGTGAATAAAAAATAATACAGTACTTGCTGTAAAACCAATGCATTATTACACGTTCTACTTAGAAACTAAAACATTTTATAAATTAATAAAACTTAATGAAATAAACTGATCGTCCTTTTTAAACAATTCTATTCTTTAAAAAAATTAATGTTTTAGAAAAAATAGCTGATTATATTGTGCATAGAAGACCATTTTAAGTTTCTTGTAAATATTTAATGTATTCTAAAACTATTATAATATACGTTATATAATAATCATTATATATATATATATATATAGCATCTGTGATAGCGGAAAACATTATTTTTAATGATAAATGTTATGGTTTAAACCACTTTTATATAGACAATTAAGAGGTTTCAATCAATATTTTATGAAGTACCTTCTAACATATTGAATTATTTAAATCGAATATTTATTTTTTTGAATGAAAATAATTTCTGATTGATTGTACACAATATTTAGGTATTTAGTACAAAAAGGTTAAGTATTTCGTTTAGGCCYTATTAAAGGGTATAGTTTGTGGTTAAAAAGTCAAGTGCGTTTGTTTAACGTTAATGTAATTTATTAAAATGATTATAAAACGTTTGTAAACAGTTTTTACTTGTTTGATGTACGAAACCAACTAAGTATTTACTATTCACATACATCTACAATTATAGTCAAAGGAGTTAAAATTAGAAATTATTTTCCAGTTAAAATAATAGCAGGCTGCTAACCTCAAACAACTAGGTAAAAATGGTCACGTCATGAACATTTTCAAAAAATATCTATAATACATTTAAAATTAAATTTGTTTGGTGAATAGAAAATACAATTTTAAACAATAAACGATATGGTAATTATTAATGTACCTACTTATAATATGGTATATTGTACTGTAAATTTATGTCAACTTTAAAAATAATAAAATACAATACGAATGTAGACACTAATGTTTATAAATGTTTATTTTAAGATGATGCTATAAATATCAGATTCGTTTTTTCTATGTGCTTCACGCGTTACATATAGTATAAATATACGTTCCACACTTCCACGATTTGTACTCTCTATTTGAGTTTAGAGTATCTATACTGTATAGTACTACACACGTGGTTCATTATAGATTTTATATAAAGTCTTTCTTTATATAACTTCATAATATATTATATATGACCAATGCTTAACGATTTGTTTTCAAATTTCAAATATTTCGTGCAAATGATTTAAGTACAATAAATTAAGGTTAATTTAGTTAAGTGCTAACATATTTTAACTGAAAATTAAAACACATGTTTTCATCAAATTTTTTAATGCCTTCATAGCATTCCCAAACTCAACTATATTAATTAAAACCATGAATGATAATTTTTAAGTATAAGTTAATGTCTATTTTAGACTTTGGGCAATACAATTGAATACAAATTAACATTTCCACGTTAATGATATCTTAAATTGTTAAAAAATGTTTTGTTTAGATTTATCCTCTCAGTCATTATATATTTCCATTCTCGACAATTATAATTTTTAAATATGGTTTGTCTACAACGAAAGGGAAATACTTCAATAACGTTATCCTTCAAAACTCAATGCATTTTAAAAAGCTTCTAGATTTAATATTAATTTTAAAAATGTATTCTACATTAATGCATTTTTGAGGATAAWTAAATTCCTACATAATTAGCGATGAACACAAACTAAAGACACTAAATTATTAGTACTACATTAGGTATCAGTAATGTAAATATTGAAATTTATATTACACTTTCACTTTTCACTAAATATTGATCATTTCGAACAACATGGTTTATCATTGACTCGATCTACTAACAACACAATGTCAATGTCTATTTAGTTCATAAATGTGTCAAACACGCTTTCTGGTTACTTTTCTTAATTGTATTTATTCAATACCATATTATCATTGTAATGAAAAAAAAAAGATTTAAAAAAACTGTTAATGAGCGTGTATAAAGAGTTTTCAATGAACTTAAGAGTTGTTGTTCTTTTCGTGCTTACAAATGGTATCTCCAAGATTCAAAAGTGTTAATAATTAATATCATGTAATATTATAGTTATCCTATCCGATATAGGTACCTGCTCTAATTTTGTATTCGAATAACGAACACTCAAATGGAAATATCACTCATCGTGTATTCTTTTGTTACCAATAATTGGATCATATTGTTGTATCAGTATAATATAATATTTCTTTTTAACACTATATTAGAACTGATATATATCTTATATTCTATAAGAAGAATAATACATATATTTAGTTTTCACTTTTCATATAATCTACACGTTAGAATTCTAAAGTATTTTAACAATACCCACTTTTTTACTAAGTAACTTATAAATTTATAATAGTATTTCATAGAAGTTTTGGGGCAGGAAAATAAATAATATTAACATTATACTCGTATATATATTGTGCGTTTATTAATATATTTATTATTTTTGTGGGTATAATGATTTTATGTTAATATTCTAAATTTCAATAATTCAAGTAATAATATTATGTTGTGTATTAGCATTTTCGATACATAACATAATTTTCAAAATATTTTGACTATTTTTTGAGCTATTTATAGATATTTTAAATTATAGTTTTGTTTTCATAAATGTTGATATCAAAATTCCTATTTGATCAAGAAGCTTTTTAATTGAATTCAAGGTTTCTCATATATTCATTAAAAAAAACATCGAAAATACATTGTCACAATATTTATCCAAGTGTTTAAAATTTTTATTTTATCGAAATCGCTGGAATTCGCAAATTATTGTRTAGGAAGTTAAAAATCCATACAATTTTTAATATTCTTACTTAACATTTGAAAATGTATTACGAGATTCTTCATGAATAGTTCATGCTAAAATCAAAAAGTCTATAAAATAAAGAAC